GCTTATTGATCATTTCTCGTAAAATAATCTTCTTATTTATAGAGAAATTGTACAGTATGCGATATTACATTTATGCATCTATTTTAATGGAGCTATGTAGGGTATTCTAAATATTTTACATGTATGAGTCTATTGGCCAGCTGCATTATGGCTTGGCCAAGTGGGATAGTATCACTTTAACTGGATAATTAATTGAACATGATCTTCCCAAAATACAAGGCTTCAATGGGGATAATTAATTTTACTTATTTATATTGATATATTAATTTATTAAGATTAAAATTAATTACAAACCTGCACTTTTGGTGCAACCTTGTGATCTCATTACTTGAGAAAGTTTAATACTTGAGGATGACAATATAGAAGTGAATGAGAGTGTTCATATAAATCATGGGTCAAGAATATATAGGTAGAGTTCGAAAGCACGAGATTGGAGTTACTCCAACCTAATTTTTCCCCACATAGCACGACCACTACAGGCGACAACAACGAAGGAAGCAATTTTGCTTGAATTGTTGGAGTTGAGGAGTTACATTCTTTAATATCTAAGATTAGAGGCTTCATACAACAACTTCTCACGCATTTATCATTGTGTGCTAGTCACTATAAGAAATTCATTAAAACTGATAGCAAAAGTGACGGTCTACATTTACATCGGTAAAAATGTCCTATTTTCCGACAATTTTACAGCGGTTTATGTGATGTGTACTTCAGACGACAAAACAACAGAACATGACATCGTTTTTTAATAGTAATTTTTTTCTGATTGTTTTTTATTATTACTGAAATATTTTACCGTCGGTTATAAGTAAAAAATAACTGACAATCATATGTTGTCGGTTATTTACGAACCTGCAATTGGCAAGGTGTTAACCGACAAGATTTTTTAATAAGCGACGAAAAATACTATTGGTATTAATGTTAATAACCGATGAATTTTAAGTTGTCTGTAAGCCCTCAAAAAGAATCTTTTATACCACCGAAATCGCGACGCCTCTGGTTTTGCCGTAATCATCTTCTCCTTGGTCTCAGTCTCTCCCCATGCTCTACGCCCCCCCCCTGCCCACACCCGCTTTCTCCCGGTGACTCGAACGCCGCTTCGACGACTCCACCGCTCTGATGCTCACTAATATGGCCAACCTTCCTTTTGCTCTTACTGGACATTTACGTGAGGATGTTCCTTGGCGCATGCTTTTCGTAGTTGACATCCTTCTTGTGGATGAGACTAAAGAGTGTTTGGCTGCAAGTAGAATTTAAGTTAAATAAGATTTACTAAATATCGTACATTCGGATTTATTAAAACTAAATTTTATTAGATCTTAAATGATGTTTGGTTCAATGAAGGTTAAATTTAGTTAAATCATTTTGATGTGTAGATGTTGTTTGGTTAAATTAAGGTTAAATTTAGTTAAACCTAAGACCTTGCAAACAAGAATATCTGACTAAGATAACAAATCGACCAGGTAGACGAGACATAGGCACCGTAAGACTTGAGCCAAGGCGACAAGTGAGTCACGGTTCACTCAACAAAAAAAATCGGCTCATCACTCGATAAACCGACCGACAGAAGTGCAAGCAGAAACCACCTGATCGTAATTGGACGGCTGACCTGCTCTTGTGACGATGAATGAGATTGACGTTCGACCGAACACCTCAGTTAGGGAACCGAAGAGTGTACACTATGGAGACTTTATCTTTATAAATAATAATGAATGAGATTGACGTTCGACCGAACACCTCAGTTGACCAAACACAAGACACAGTCGACACCCAATAAATCATCACACTCGGCCACATTCTAGCGAATCGACCAACCAATTACCAACATATCAAAATTCAAATTATAATACTGATATAAAATAAAATTCATATTATAACTATAATTTTATCCTTTCTATATTTATAACAAATACATTCGTATAACTAAGAGATAAAAAGACGATCAAAGGGAGGCAGACCAATGGACTCCCCCAGTTCCCTCTACAGTAATTCTTAATTCACTTTGTTCTTTCCTTCACTCGACTCTTAACTCTCAAGATATGTTCACAAAAGACAATCTGGGATTCAATATAAATAATTAGTTAATATGATATTAAAATGAACAAATTTTCAATGGTTAAAAGGGCGTAGCTTTTCAAATCATCGACAATCTAAAAAAACAACACCATCTTTTTTATTATGTTTTTCGTTTAACAACTTACCGACTCTGACCCGTTATGATGAAAGTATCATTGATTGACGGTTAGGTATCATTTGAAATACAAAACCCACACTATAATAATTTTTAAAATGTTGAAAATTTTATTGTGATATGGTAAGTTTAAAAGTGAAAAAAATATACTTCTCTTTTTAAATATTCTATATTGAAGAAAAAATAAATCTCATAAGAACCTAAAATCTATTGCAATTTTTTATTTGCTCCATCTTCCAGCCACACGCATGAGATCCCCGGATTTAATTGGCTACTTCTCCTATGAGAACCCATTGCCCATTGTATAATTAGCTTCTTCCCCAAAACTCCACTTTTTACCCAGCTTGACTCCATTCCTAATATTTTTCTTCTCTTCATTGGAAACTTCCCATGCAGAGCCTCGTATAGAGTGAGGCCAAAGGGAAGTGGCAGATGAGGGATATGCTGAGGAAACTCATTGGAAACTCCTTGTCTTCTATCATGTTTAGCAACAATCATCAAGGAATTTGCTTAGTTGTTGTTTGAATGTGCAGATGAGGGATATAGATAAGATGGACTGTCAAATATATGAAGAGATGCATCATGAATCGGCACTTGGTACGAGGAAGATGCGCACATTCGAACATATTGAATCAATGGTTTTTGTTTCTCAGTCATATGTCTCTATGATCACCCAGACTAGACTATTCATTTGACAATGTTTCTCCTGTTATGAAAATTGAAGCGGAATAAAACAAGAATCGACACAGACCAGAAGAAGAACACAGAGTTTTAACGAGGTTCGGCAAAGAATTGCCTACGTCCTCGGGAGCGAGCGACAGTTTCACTATTTCAGAGAACAAGAGACACTCCTTTTCACCAGAAGACACACCTCTTCACAAGAAACTCCAACTCCCTAGTATGAGTCATACCTAACATCTCTCATCATCTTACTCAGAAGCATGCAAGGCTATAATTAAATTTTTCAATAACTTATAATAACATAATAGGAATCATTCATTTTGGAGTTCAAATTGGTGTTAAACTTTGCTCTCAAGTTATAGTGTCCTAAAGATATTCTAGATTTAATGTCATCATCATCTTATTTATTATAGTAAAATTGTAGCTATTTTGAATTGAATTGTATTTCCAGCAAAGATTTATGTTGTATTTTGTGGCCAAGTCAAGATGATGGTGTAAAATGAAGATTATAAAAATGATCACCAAAAAATAGTTTTTACAAATAAGGCTAAATAGAGGAACTAAAGGACCAATATTTGCAGTTATGATTTTTTTTTTCTTTTTTGCATGATTTTAAAATTTTAAATGATTATAATTTCATACTCTGTGATTTGTCAATGAAATTCATATTTGCATTGTGTGTAGGGGTGTAAACAAACCGAACACGAACAAACAGAGCTTGTGTTCGTGTTCGGTTAGTGTGAAATTTAGTTTGTTTGAAATAAACTCGTGTTCAAAATCATTCGTGAAGTCACTGTTCGTGTTTGTTTCTTAACGAACGAGCTGAACACGAGCTGTTCGCGAACGACGAGCCAGTTTGACATCCCTAATATTAATATATATAAATAATATATTAAATTAATTATATAACTTATATTATATAAATGTATTATATCTATATTAGTATATTAATATATATATTATTATTAATTTGTTATATATTATAATTTATAAAATTTAATTTTTTAAAATATCATAAATTATATATATATATATATAATTATTTTAAATTATTTTATATTTCAAACAATAAAGATTCGAACACGGACGAACGCATCACCTTTCGTCTTTGGTTCGTTTAACTAACCGAATGAAAATAATTTGTTCACGTTCGTCTCGTTTACTTATCGAAGGAATCGAACTCGAACTCATTGGCGAACCGAACACGAACTGTAAGCAAACACTGAGCTTTTTTGACAACGTTCAATGTTATTTACATATCAATGATGAAATTTTTGTCGATAATAAAATTATTGAATTACGCAAATATTTTAAGTTGGTTAGTAGTTGGCTCTTAATTTGACATTCATTTTTCCACAAGCGATGTATATACAAACTTTTTTTAAAAAAAGACGTGCCTCGAAACATAGTGGCTTTTTTTAAGATCGATACTGTGGAGCTTTGTGACAATTATTAAAAAAACAAAGTTTCAGTGTTAGATATGTAAATACATAATAATTGTTTGATATGAATGCAAACCTCCATGTTCAATATTAATGTGAAGCTTTAGGGGTGAAAAGGTTACTAGACTCTTAGTCCCATATTAGGAAAAAAACTAATTATTACTATTCCATCAATAGAATGGTATAGATGTGCCTTTCACAATATGGAGCACCTCATAGGCTTTTAAAGTGGTGTAAATATGTTGTCATGAAACATGGGATATGAGTTTATCATTTGTTTTTGGGGGGTGCAAAAGTACTTTGTTAGGAGGCAAAATGAAAAGAAACCCCCTCCTATTATAAAAATTGAAAAACTAGGGTGAGGAATGAAATGCCTTGGATCCACCCATAGATCAAATATTATGTTTCGTGGACCCAACGTCACGACAAAAGTCAGGATTCAGCCACGCGACATCTGGACATGCGGCATTGGCATGAGTATGAGCATGGACAAAGTAATTCCAATTCCTCTTAACTCATTGATAATGTTAAAGCTTTCATAGTATTTAATATCATGCCTTCCCTAAACATATGCAAACATTCTATCCATTTTATATATACATTTGAATTTTTTTTGTGGTGGTAGAAAAACTAATGCAAGCGGCTACCCAAGTTTTCTAATCTCCAATCTTCTTTATAAATAAGAATCAAGCCAACCAGAGCTAAGCATGCTTCTCCTTCTTCTCTAAATTCAAAGTGATGTCCACCATGAACGGCCTCATGAAATGCCATGAGCAAACCTCCCATTTCGTAGTAGTTCCCTTAATGGCGCAAGGCCATATGATCCCCATGGCCGACCTCGCGCTTCTCCTCGCCCACCGCGGCGCACGCGTTAGTCTCATCACCACACCAGTTAACGCCTGCCGTCTTCGCGCAGCCGCAGACCACGCAGCATTCACCGGTCTTCTCCTCCGCCTCGTGGAGCTTCCCTTCCCCTGCAAGGCGGCCGGCCTCCCTGATGGATGCGAGAACATCGACCTCATCCAAAAACCAGACCTTTTCGGCCCCTTCTTCAAATCCCTCCACCTCATGGCCGGCCCGCTGAAAAACTACCTCCGCGCGCAACCAAAGTCGCCGACTTGCATCATCTCCGACCAGTGCATGCCTTGGACGATGGAGGTTTCCAAGGATCTCAACATTCCCCGCTTCGTCTTTCACGGCCCGTCCTGTTTCTTCCACCTTTGCACCCTCAAGCTCGTCCAGCACAAGCTCTACGAGAACGTAAAAGATGACCGGGAAAGCTTCACGGTGCCGGAGCTGCCTCAGAGAATCGAAGTGAACAAGCTGACGGCGCAGCGTTTCTTCGACTGGCCACAAATGGAGGATCTTTTGCGGCGGGTGGAAGAAGCGGACGATACTTCCGATGGCTTTGTGCTCAACAGTTTTCAGGAGCTGGAGCCGTGGTACATCGATGAGTACCGCCGGTCGGTGGGCAAGGAGGTTTGGCCCGTCGGACCGGTGTCGCTCCTGCACAAGGAGACGGGGAGCAAGGCTGTGAGAGGTAATGGCAGCACAGGGATAGATCAAGTTAGCGTTTTGCAATGGCTGGAAGGAAGGGAGAGGGGCTCTGTTATTTTTATTAGCTTTGGAAGCATTGCGAAAACCCGGCTGTTGCAGCTGGTGGAAATTGGATTTGGGCTGGAGGCGACGGGTCTTGCGTTTGTGTGGGCGGTGAAGGAGGCGGAGGAGAACGAGGAGGTGAAGAGATGGGTTGGGGAATTTGAAAAGAGGAATTGGAACAGGGGGCTTATTATAAAGGGATGGGTGCCGCAGGTGCTGATCCTGACACATCCGGCTGTTGGAGCGTTTATGACGCACTGTGGCTGGAACTCGGCTCTAGAAGCTGTTGCAGCGGGCGTGCCCATGGTTACATGGCCGCACTTTTCAGACCAGTTTCTGAACGAGAAGTTGGTGGTGGAGGTGCTGAGAACGGGGGTTGGGGTTGGGGTAAAGATGCCAGCTTTTCATCTGACGGAGGTAGAACAGGCGGTGGTGGGGAGGGAGAAGGTGGAGATGGTGGTGAGGAGAGTTATGTGTGGAGGGGAAGAGGGGGAGGAGATGAGGAAGAGGGCATGGGAGCTTGGTGAGAAGGCGAGGAAGGCGATGGAGGATGGTGGGTCGTCCTATGAGAATTTGAGCAGTTTGATCGGTTATGCCACGGGTCTTGCTGCCAATCGTGGTGTTGAGTTGCAGTAAGAAAAAATTGAACTTTTCTGAGTGGAGTTCTGTTTGGGAGGTTGTATGCTGGCTGATCTTGTGTTTGTGTTCTGCATTTGGTTCAGGGATCAATCTTTACAGTATGTTTTTTGTTATTTTAAATGGATTCTTTTGTGTTCTTTACAAGTTTGGAGGACACTTTGCTCAGTTTGTCCTTGTTGGTCAAGATGTACTTCAGTTGTAAATTTTTTCTTTTCTATGTATTGCTTTTTATTTTCAATCTTGAAAGAAAAAATCATTTGAGGATTAGAATATGAATGTTTATGGGAATACTGCTTGAGTGCTGAGAAGTTGTTGGGTGGAGTCAAGATTCAACTTTTGAACTTGCGTTCCCGGTAATTTATTTGGTGTGATGCCGTTTTGAAAATACATCTAATCTGTTTGGGTAAATTGCATTTTGAAAATGCTGAAGACAGTGTTTTCACGCCGCACCTATCTAGGTGTGGTGACAAGTTTCTGGTTGTGGTCCTGTTTTTCCACTGTCTGACTTTTCGAAAAAAAATAAAAATTTGTAATGACTACCAGACCTAGCTTATCAGCAAAATATTTTTAATCAGCTTATCAGTAAATTATTCAATAAGCTGCAGCTGCCCCAAACAAACCTTAAATCTCATTGATTTCTTTTGCTTTTAATTATGGAATGAAGGATCCGTAATGTTGGAGACTTCTTTGTTAATATAATGAATAGGGCTATCGAAATGGCTTGTTGTTTGCAAACTGTTTGTGTTCGGCTAACTAAGAAGCTCGTGTTCGATCGTTCGCTAAGTTAACAGGCCAAACACGAATAATTTTTTTTTTCGTTCGATATATAAACGAGTTGAACACAAACAAAGATTTGTTCGTTCACGTCGGACTACTTTTAAATACCGTCAATGCTGGTCCCAAACCCAGATGTGAAAAATGGAGGATTGTATTAGTTAGTCGACAACCTGCGTAAAACTTGCCCAAAAAAAAAAGGTGTTACCGAGATGAGAATGATTAGGTGTATGAGTGGCTTTACACTTAGAGATAAAATGCAAAATGAATATATCCAGAATAGGGTTGGTGTAGCTCCAGTGACGGCCAAAATTAGAGAGAGTCGTCTTAGATGGTTTGGTCATATTAAACGTCCACCATCTGATGATTAAGAGAGTATATGTTTTTAAGAGAGTATATGTTTTAGATTTGACTTACGTTAAGAAAGGTGGATGTAGACCTTGGAGGACTTGGGCTTTTTGTATAAGAAAATAATCTTAATTTAATATAACTAAATGAAATATGACACTCAATAGGACACAATGAAAAAAAAGGATTCATGTAGATGAGATTAAGGCTTTGTTATTGTTGTTGTTGTTGTTGTGTTCATACTCTTTTTGGCTTGAAATAATATATATATATATATGATGAGTAGTAATTAAAAAAAAATTAATTGAATACATTACTACGTTATACAGTTGAGTGACTAGGTTGATCAAAACAACTCTTTGTTCGTGAACAGCTCGTGTTCGGATCGCTAAGCAAACGAGCCGAACACAAACACATTTTTTGAAATATAAATGAGCTCAACACGAACAATGGTATTTTTTAACGAGCCGAACAAGAGCTGAGTTTCGGCTCGCTACTATTCAACTAGTTTTCAGTCTTGATACTGAAGGAGTTTTGCTAGAAATGTGCATTGACAGAATATAAAAGGACTTCTGTGACCTAAAACAATGAAAAATTATCGTTCTTATGAAATAGCTTTAACAGACATTTGGGAGATACTGCTTCACCAAACGAAAGTTCCTATAAGTGTCAGCTTTCATTGCAATGCAACGGAACTTTAGCGTCTTCTCAAACAAAACCTAAAACCATGGATGCTCAACTACTTCACCTTACAAATGTTTAGTCATTAAAAATTGGGCATGTCATTTTGACCCGTAGAGACAAGAGGAAAGCCAAACGCTGCAAACAAAGAGGGAATAGGTCAATAATTTTTGGAGTCATGGTGATAAAAATTATATCTGAACAGAGGCCAACGTGAATGGAACTCTTCAAATGATTATTATTTAATGGGATTTTCTCATCCAGATTTTGGCAGGTTTTGGCTGAAAATTTCAAGATAATTGCATGAACATTTTTGTCAACGCATGGAATAGGAAATTGGAAAATGGAAAGTGAAGTTTTAACAAGCGTTTGAATGGCAATATGTTATTTGGTTGTTGTTAAAAATTTTTAATATTTAAAATCGATACACCTCCAACATATGTCAAATCATTTAGCATATTTTTCGAGGTATGATACGGATCTCGACATAGATTTTTAACAATGAATATTCAAACTTTAATAAAAGGTTATTCAGGACTCTGATTTCAGCAAATTTTTAGTCAGATTGACTAGCTTTATAATTACTGAAATTTGATCAATCTGAATCAAGTCAAGCTAAGATGAAGTCATTAAAACGCTTTTGGAAGTTTTCTACACACATTTGAAAAGTTAAACAAATGTAGATTCTGAAGAGTATATGGTCAAATCAAACGTCTTGACAAGATGAATCCAACTGGCCAAATATTACTTAATTCTGATATCATTAAGGCACTCAAATGTTCATCAAATGTCATCTGATTGAGTGAAGTCCCCTTAGCCGTCTGATCAAAGTGATTCATATTTTTGCATTAATTGCACCAAAAACTCTATAAATAGAAACCTACCTCTCTCATTAGAGGAAGAAGAGAGCTTGAGACTTGAGAAAGAACTTAAATATTTTAGAAAAAACTGAAGTCCAGCACCATTTCTGTCGTCGTCGACCACCGTCGAGAAAACTGAACTACAACACCACTCATGTCGCCATCGACCAACACTGACC